CGACAGTGGAAATCTAGTAACTGGGCGATTATTAGATTTTTTCTAGTTGCAACTATCGATTTATCGCCCGATAATCGATCGATTTAACTATTACTAGATGCACCTGCAGACGCATCTAGTTAAAAGTTCCTTTTCCAACTAGTAATCTAGATGGCAACTAGTCGTGTATCGCCCGATTACACACGAAATGTATCTAGATTTTTCCCATAGGTGATATTTGCTTGGGATCTTAAGAAGGGTGCGTATAAGGGTTAGTTCTATGGGACGAGAGAATCTTACTCTCGTTTCTATCCTAAAAAAAGCTCAAAATTTTGAAGCATGGTGTAGATGAATTAAGCATTTATATGTACGTGCTGATTGATCATTTGTAACAGAGAAAAAGAAGAAAACCACACATATGGACTATAGATCTCTCTATCATCTATTTCTCTCTATCATCATCGCTCGTATATGAACGGCAAGTAATATATGTAATTTTCATTTTTTTTTCTTTCGTTCACTGCTTATCGTCATAAAACTGGCCAAATAAAAATCGTACGTAAATATACGTTAAATTTGTGTTAACAGCAGCAACTAGTTGAGAAATATATCTCTTGTCCTACTATAGATAGTATAAATCATCTTGATATCGAAACACTTAGATATAGTCGACAGAGTGAATCTGGCATTTATGATCAATTTATATTCGTGATACGATATCATGAATAAATAGCGAAGAGAAGAAAAAAGAAGAAAAGGTTACATTAAACAAATTTTTTTCTAAGAGTTAGTCACTTGTTCAATTTCAACAGTTCAATATCCAGACGAAAAAGGGTAAGTTTGATTGAAAAAAGCTAGAGAAAAACTGTTTTTTTCTGAAATTAAGAAAAGTCTATTATGAATTTTTACTGATACGTTATTCGATATTCATTGTACAATTTTATGAGAAGAATGATTTTATCATTGTGAATCTATGAACATATTTCTTGACACTTGTTGTATTCCTTAGTCTCTAAAACGTGAAAATTACATGGTATTCACAAGAGAAAGAGTCTGAAGTTTGTGGAATAATTTGTATTGCACCGTAACTCTTCTTAAAAAAACAAGAATTTTTAAATGTTCTGAATGTTTCGATATCGCTATCATTTGATATGACATTTGTTGTGATCTTGAAAAAGCGATTTCACCAATAAAAGATGTATTATTTAATGACTTAAGAAGAATCTTAAAGTGATGCTAAAAACCTTCACTTTTCATGCAACTTGTTTATATGCAGAGCTGCATCAAATGTTCTACTTCACCTCTCTTTATGTTAAAATTAAACGGTGTGAAATACACGCTATAAAAAAGTCCGTCGTATTCCTGTATCAGCCTAGCTTTTTTCTTCCGTCTTATTTCTAAGACCAAAGAAAACGATCTTATTTTGCCGTCTGAAGTAGAAGAAGTCACTCACCTCTTTTGTTTCGTATTGATCACCTGTATATAGAGAACAGAGGATTTAATGAAATACACGTAAAATGTGTAAATCATTCGTCTTATGAAATATTAACACCAGCTAGATTGAAACTACTGGCCCATCTTGATGAGCTTATCTTAACATTCGAACTACTATGAAAAATAAGACCGATAAATTTATCGGTCTTAAAATAAGTTTCTATAAAGCTTAGACCCATATATAGGTCTCAAAATGAGACCTTTTGATCAGTCTCATCGTCATGCGCCTTATGGGGTCTTATTGGTACTATTCTCTGATGCTGGCTTTCTGACTGTCTGTCTTTGATTGAAAAGATATTGGACTTCTTACTTTAGCGAGCACTTTTCTAACGTCATATCGTTAGACTACGTCCTCTTTTTTCTCGCTGTAACAACGCTAAAAACATGAAAATAAAATGCATCTTTCAACTAAGAGATCGAGAAAAAATTGAAAAGATTCCATGTTGAAGTAAACACTCTGCTCTGCAAGATTTAGTTAAGCAACTTTTGCATTTACGGTAGAAGCGATTTACTTTCTTTTACTCGTACACGTTGTTCTTCCTAAAACATCTTAATATGAAGCACATTAGTTTCCTCAAAATTTTCTCTTTGCTAACAAAAAATTAGAATTTCGAAAACCAGAAAAGATAGTTTTGAAAATATTTTTGACCAAATTCAAAAAAAAGAAATAGAAAAAGACTGCTACATTATAGAATTCTGATTTAGTTTAAGAAGTCTTTAATTAAGAAATAACTGACTCTGATTTTCCTAAAATAATTTAGAGTGTTTCTCTTCTTCAATTATACGAATCATAGAAACTTGCTTCGAAGAAGTGGTCTGTGGTTCTTGACTCGATGCAGGTGATAGTACCTCAGGTTCAGAAGATATATTTTTGACATTTTCTAACGGTCTAACAATTGATATTTAAATGGCAAAAAAAATGTGACCAGTAGGGTTACTGGCAGCAGTTAAATGCCTGTTATTTGACCGTTTTTTGACATTTAAAAAAATGCGAAATAAATGCACTTAAACGTTCGCAGTTATAATGGCAAAAAACGGCCTAAAAGCGGGGTCAAATGTCATAAAAATGCCATTTAAATGCTTATTAACAGCGTATTAAATGGCATTTAATTGACAATTAATTACACCGTTTTCGACGTCCTGGATTGAGTCAACCGTTTTGTCCACATTCCATTTTATCAAATTGAAATCAATTCATCATTAATTCTTCTATAACTATAAAAAAAAGTTATATACTAAATTCGATTGTCTCTACATACCTTTTTAGTCTTTTAATGATACTGTTAGCAGTACATCCCGATACACTAACATCAATTCAACGCATACCTTTTGAACACTAATTTTGTCCAGTTTTTATGATCTTTTTTTGATAATAACAAAATGTCAATAAAAAACTAAGTAAATTTTCCCTATTTGATCTTTCTTTTTATATATTTTAAAATAAGTTTTTTTTAACAAAAGAGAAAAGAAAAAGAATTTTTTTCTTTTCTTGTAAGTTCAAAAGAAATTAAATAGAACGAATAGAAATATTTCTTCGTTTAAACAAATCATTTTTCACCAAAAAAATAAAAGCTGTTGTGTAAATAATGGCAAATGCGAACACGTTTACTTCTAAATTAGTATAACGACAAATTTCTTTTCATGTACTCTACAAAAAAGAAATGACAACTTTGAAGTTTGACAGTTCTCTAATAATTATCAAAAAATAACCGTATACCTATTTATGTCTAAAAAAAAATGTTGTTAGTATCATTATAACATGTCATTCTACTAAGAGAAATATAGGGTGATAAAGCATCACACATCAGATGTTAAATCAACCATATAGTATTTTTTCCCGAAAATATATCATCATAAACGATTAAAATGTAAAAGATGCTTTTGGTAGTTCTCATGAGTTTGTTTCGTAGCCCAGTCATGCTCACTAAATTTTCCACAATTCACATAATTTCATCGCATAAAAGTTGAATATGTGTATCTTTGATTCAGATATTAGAAATGTGTGAAAACTCGACGAAAACTGCACAATCAGTCATTAACTGGTAGTAGAAGTGGGACAGTACCATTTCTTAAAGTTCCTGAGAACTGGTGAAAAGAACTGGTTAGCCGTTCTCGTTCTAAGAACGAGTAGTAGAAATGTGCAACCAGACCGGTAACCAACCCGATCAAAAGGTTGGGTATCGGTTCCGTTTTTTAAAATTCATCCGAAAATCGGATGGTTTTAGTGAAAATATACAAGATTTTAGTTTAAATATATGAAGTTTTAAAAGAGTTACTTGAGGACATAATGATAACTTGACATCTCCAGATGAAAAATAAAACATTTTAGTTGTAAACCGAAAAGGAGAAAACTTTTCGGAGTAAGTTGGGTACGGGTCGGAAAATGGTATCCGTGCAGATCTCTAACTAATACAGCTGAAGGTTCTTTTCAAAAGAACACGAATTTTCTACCAGCACTTTTCAATAGATAATAAAGTCGATCAATGTAACTAGCTTCACCAGCTTTATTTTCCATTGAAAGGAAATGGTAGCCAGTTCACGTTCTTTTGAAAAGAACATTCAGCAGTACCCGTTCTTAGAACGAGAACAGCTAACCAATTACCGTTTAAAAGAAATGAACTGGAGCTTTTCACCTCTAGCTGGTAGATCAATTGACTGTATTTTATAGTTTTTTGATAATATTACGATGTTCCTATAGTTTAGTTCATTGATCAAGAGCGTGATCGTTTTTTAGAGTGTCAAAACACTTCCTAGGAAATGTAGAAGACAGATGCAACTTATGAATCTGTTGATAAAATGGCGCGCGTTTAAACAATAATTTAACTTCAGTCTATCATTATGTTTATAATAAAATAAAGAAATAATATAAACAATGAGTAGAAATATTTGTAGTAAATTTTGTCTTGTATTTTTAAACGTTCCATTATTTCTTCTTGGTATTGGTGCATTGATTGTGGGTAGTTTATATTTACAATATAATAGAAAAGTTGCTATTGGCGTTGTGGTTGTAGCTATTATTATTATTAGTGTAGGATTGTTTGGAATATGTGGAGCATTAATGGAAAGCAAAATTTTCTTAAATATTTACATTATTGTGATGGTAATGTATCGTGATCGATCTATAATAACTAGTTTAGTATCGTTTTAATATTTTAGATATTGCTCACATTGGCATTAATTGGAGGTTTAGTTGCACTAATTGTGTATAAAAAAAGAGTTACCAATACGTATCTGAATATAACATCAAATCGTGTAAAACAATTTTCAACGATAACTGATGAAGTTGATAAAAGTACGATAATTGCTATATTTAAACAACGAAAATGTTGTGGTTTCGAAGAAGTAAATGATTATCCGTTATTATTTGAAAAATTTGAAGAATGTCGTAAAACACCAATTGATGGTAAATGGACACTAACATGTATTGAAAAAGTGAAGAATGAATCAAATGTAATATATATGGCTATTCTTGTATTGACAGCATTATTACTATTGTGTACAATATTTGCATCAACTTCAGCATGTTGTATTACTTGCCAAGATAGACATTATCGAGATAAAGATAGTGCATACTCATGAAACATATTTTATTATTACGCTAGAAATGCCAGCATATGACATTTCTTCATTGAACATTTTGTTAAACTTCAATAACGTTTGAATTTTTTTATGACTGAAACGAGAAATATAAATAATTATGTAGCTTCCAGAATACTAAGATAAGGAAGTTAATCAGAAAATAGTGTACAGTAATCTCAAATGATGCATTTTTAAATTGTGGGTCGAAAAATAGAATAAGACAGAAACCAAAATAAAGGCAAATTGATAGATATTGTACAGTTACTTCAAAGTTTGTCATTTTACTGAATTGATGATGGATATGATACAGTGTACTAATTTTCATACATTAGTATGGACGCGTCCATTTTCCTTGCATCAGTTTTTTTTTACATGCATTGACATGTGTTGTGATGCCCTGAGATTTAAACAACTTGCCACACTCTGAATCGCTGCACATTCTATAGGTATTTTTACTTAATAATTCAATAAGTTTCTTTTGAGGTGTACATCGATGAGGCATTGCTTTTGCCGCTGGTGATACTGTTATTTGTATCTTGGTTTAAACTTTTGTATCTTTCAATCACGTTGAGTCCGTGTTCGTTTTTAAGTTAGATTGTTTACCACTATTAAAGCAGATATTAAATGTAGGCCTATTAAGCACCGAGTAATCAGCATTATGGAAGTCTCAAATTACTTTCGCTCCTCTTCTTGTCTCTTCTCTATTCGTTCTTTGTTCTACTGTGCTATTTTCTTTAGCTGGTTATTTACGGGTTTTATTATATGTACCTGTTCATTACATTTCTCCATTAATCTTTATTAATCAAGTTCCTTCGCCAATTATTAATCTCAAATTATTCCAGATCGTCAATGCTCCTCTCATGATTTTTTCTAACGGAAGTTGGCTAGTTAGGTCAAGTATCATCTCGTTTGACATTCTGTTTTCCAGTAGAACTCCGATGGTGGTTCTCAGACATCGAATGTAGAAAGTATGGAGTCATCATGCTTCGGCCATTGTGAGTGTTCACGTCTCACTACTACATAGCAGCACCGATAGGATACAGGGTAGAAAGATGCTCAATTTAACTTTGATTGTCGAATGGTGGGTGCATTATCATTTTTACTGTTATTGTTTGTATTATAATATTTGATGGAAACATTGTGAAAATTTGAGAAGCATCTTGTTTCGTGACTGGAAGTGGGGATAGATACATGTGAAACTGTACGTTTAGAACGGTAAATACACGGTATAATAAATGTAGCATTTAACCATTATTCGCGATACATATTAAAAATGTTGGGTTCGGTGAGCAGAATACCGTCTACTGATTTAGATAGGGCTTTAACAAACTTATCCCAGTACTCATAACATCGATTTTCCAGCTTACGTTCCTTACACAGATACAAAAACATAAAATCGTTCCAATGTGTACAGCTAAAAGTTCGTTCGAGACATGTGCGGTATAAATGAAAAGATCAGATCTTTGATGATCGGAAAAAAGAGGAAAAAGAGCAAACAACCACGTGAATAAAGGTAACATGTATATAAGGAAGAGTATTTTTCTAAAAAAAGGACTTGAGGACCACTCATTCTGCACGACTTAACAATTGCAACTCTATCACGAATGTTTGTTTCTGAAATGTTTATCATTTTTCCCCAACCTAGTTTACAAGAAATGTAATACCCCAAGTATTTAAAACATTTTGTCCAACTGATTTTATTGCCAACACAAAAAAACTCAAAATTATTAGAAGCCACTGCTCGGGCACTCCATAAAGCTTCTGTCTTTTAATAATTTATTGGTTGTACGGCAAGAATCGAATAGAATTCTAGGTAATCGAACAGCGTTTTTAATCTATTCTCCAGATCTCGGCACTGTTGAGAATATTTAACATCAATCATACCACTCAAGGCACAAGCCAAATCATCTACGAAAAAATTTGATAAGGAACTTTCCAAAAATGTCCACATGTCACCATGGTATGTAATGAACAAGGTTGATGTAAAACACGACTCCTGTGAATCACCCCTCGAGACAGGAAAATAACGCGAACGATTGCCCTGGATTTCAATAAGCCTTTACGATCTTTCAGCCAAGCACCAATCCACATAATATATGCTTTTGGGATCCCTAGGCGCAACAGTTTACCGGTACATCCATCCCACCACAATTGATCGAAAGCTTGTTTAAAATCGACAAACACTGTAGCAACCGGCGCACTACTACTCATCATCGACGAGATTTGGTCAATCAAAAGAAGCACACGCGATTGTAAGCGAAAATTTGATCGAAAACCCGATCGAGAAGCGTGCAAAATTCCACGATTACACCAAATTCTTTGGAAACGCTCCAAAAACAGACGTTCTAATATTTTTAAGAACACAGCCAACAATGAAATAAATCGTGTGTCTGACACCAAACAAATCGAATTCTTTTCTGCTAATAATTTCATCCTGGCTGTTTTCAAATATGAAGGACCGACAAAAGATGATAACGAAAGGTTGAAAATATTCGGCAAGCCTATCCAAAATAGTGTTGGAATGAACTAGAACATGAAGGAAGAGATCCTGTGACCATCTACTGAATGTTTTTACTTACGTTTCAAAATCACCCTCATCAATACAGATAGATCTATGAATAGATAGATACGGATGTTCATTCTATATCTCAGCTAATAGTTGATCAGCAGAAATATCAGTAGAGACATTCCGTAATAAAACTGAGAATTGTGGTGGTAAATGTTTTGGTAGAATTTTGTCATAATTTAATATACCTAAAGTTGCTGGGCAATTGTTAATATCAAATAATACTAAAAATGTATGATGATTTTTTACAAATAATAATAATTCCCTTCTTTATTGTACCCGATGACCATCTAATCCCAATTTAATATTATGATTTTTTCTAAAATGATCATGTAATTCATTTAATATATCTTGCTCCTTAACATCTAGTCTAAACTTAACAATAAATGATGGAAATGGAAATCTCGTTTCGGCATAACATAATTGACTACATTTACAATGTTGGGCCAAGAGTCGAATTGAATTCTGACATTGTAGCTTCCGCCTGATGATGTCCTGTTTTTGATTTCTTTTTAAAATGTTGTAGCTCGACACTAGAATTGTCTTGATCCATTTTTTCTGGGTCATTATCTTGTTGACGATGACTATTATGATAAGTAGTATTTTGCTGCTGTCTTGATTATTCACTTATTTGTTTACTTTGATCGTTATTTGCTCCATAAGATGATATAGATAAACGATTACTAAGATATGGACTGGTTCTGACCATTGTTGACTTGGATTCATTTGAGCAGGTGACTCATAACTATATGAATATTGACCTGAGTTGTTCATTGAATATTGCGGATATTGAGGAAATGAGGTCGAAAGTGATGGATTGAAAGATGACTGGTCAGACGACTGGAAACTAGGGTCCTGCAGGTTTAACCCAATTCCGAACCTGCGGGCTCGGAATCGGGATCCCGAAAGCTTTTTTTGAGTTCGGGACGGGTTTCAGTTCATCTGAACGGGATCGGGTTTGTTTCCGATCCTGATTCTTTTAGCTTGATATAGAGACAATTCTAAATAAATAAAAAGGAATGGAAAATAAGGAAAACGGACAGGTGTTTCGCACTAGACGCGAAACTATTGAAAACTTCATCGAAAGTAGCGACTTTGGCTGAAAATGTCAGTTTTCAAAATCGATTTTCTCTCATGGCATAAGACGAATTTTGGAAATATGTGGTGCATAAGTAGTTCCAACCTTGATCTGTCAATAGATGAAAAAATTTCGGTGGATAACGTTAAGCTCACTGAAAGCCCCTAGTACCCCCGACAGTAGGTATCATGTAGAAATCATTAAATTTTTAGAACAGTATTTTGCATTTTTTGGCTTGAAGAAAGTATTTTAAAGCGAAACCAAGCTCATATTCGTGATTAGCGTCAGAAACTGAATCGAATAATGTGTCATTCAGCCAGCTGTTTCAGCGATTTGTGCTGTAAAAAAACACTTGTATTAAAAAATAACTTTCGCTATAGACTACTATCTGTTCCAAAATACAAGGCAGGTGGTTATTTTTTGAATAACTCAAAAGAAATAAAAGATAAAGACTTGCGGTTTTCATCATTCAGTAGCCAAGGCCTGAAGCTATGTTTTCATAACCAAAAAAGAATTTCAAAAGAATTTCAAAGACCGGTTTTTCAGGAGATCTGTGGATAACCAGTTCAGTTCTCTGAAAGTTGGCACAGAAATCTATGAATTGTTTTACGTGGATATATAGTCCGAAGTGTCCTCTACAGAACTAGATCTAAGCGACATCTTAGAAATCCATGGTTCGGGAGCTATGGATGTTTTCCCTGAAGCCTTAGCACTCCTGTGCCGTTAAGTTTGGGACTGTCAGAAACGAATGAAAACATAGGTTATCCAGTATGCTGAGTCTCGTGGCAATGTTAGTTTTCAGAACAAAATGCAACAACCGAGTAAAAACTTACACTAGGTGAAATACCCCATTTTCGATTATTTTCATCAAAAATTAAAAAATTCACAACTTAGTCAAACTCTACTTGCAAATGTCAGGAAAGACTCTATTTTATCAGCTGATTCTGATTCCGTACGTAAAATCAGTAAAAAAGAATTCTCTTAGGTTTCTAGGAAACCTTTCTGGAAAGCAAAGTATTTTCTGTTGGTTTTTTCAATGTTTATTGAGTTTTACTGAGAATTTATTGAACTGCAGATAAAATAAAGTGTTTCCTGACATTCGGAAGTAGATTGGATGGATTTTGACTGAGTTGTGAATTTTTTAATTTTTGATGAAAATAATCGAAAATGGGGTGTTTTCATGGTGTTTGTCTAATGGTGTCTTCAAAAGTTTCTGAAAATGTTTCGTTTCGATGCAGTATGACGCCAAAATATGAGTTTAGGACGTACCGGATACAGGTCACTGTATGAGAACGAAATCATTCCCAGACGTTGGGTTTGTTGTAAATCGAAGAAAAATGTTAGCTCTGTTTATGTAAAAAATTTGAGCTCTTTATCTTATATGATTGCCGAGATATGAGCAACACAAAGGTGTCAATATGAGAGATATCGCATTTTTCAAAAGTTGGTCGAAATTTTAAAATGCTCGTTTCTCAGCAACTCAGCAATATTTTTTCAAACGGAAAGTGCTATTTTACTCAGAAATGTCTATATTTTCTTTTATGACTGGTTGGAACAAGTTCTGTGAGATACGATTGAGCAGTGTTCTATGTAACGTAGTCGCCGCTTATATGAAATGGCTCATATAGATGCCTTAACTGTACGAGATAGAAAGAGGAATGGAAAAAAAACGAATTTTAGAGCTTACCGCATTTTAATTATAATGTAAAGAAATATGAGTGATTCAAATTTATCTCAGAGCAGAGTGTGAAGAGCGCACTTTTCCGTTACGAAACAAGATGCTTCTCAAATTTTCATAACGTTCTCTTCAAATATCATAACACACGCATTAATAAAAAACGGTAACGCACTTACATTTCGGTAGTAAAGTTACGTGAAATGGCCCTTTAATGTCTCTTTTAGTTGTTTTATTGATATTGTGACAGTTCCCTTTATGCTCATCGTCAATCGTTGAGTGATCTTCTTGAATGTGCGTATGAATATCTCAAAATTTTGTCCAGTCACACATCGCTACCACATTGTATGATCTTCCGGAATCTTGTAACTTCTTGTCGTAAAATCTAACAAGATCAGCTTATAAGAAATATTAAGATCTTGTTGCAAGAAACCATATGATCTTGCGGACCTTGTCAATAAGCGCTTACCCATATTCAGTTCTTATCACAAGATCATACGATTTCTTGTTACAAGATCTTACAAGAAGTGATGATTCATTCTTGCCACAGAAATTTTGCTACGATATGTAGTACATATATAACATAGTTCTTATGACAATATTTTTCTTCCTTCTACTTTACACATCAGCTGAGCACAGGTAAAACGCATGGCTATAAGAAACGTGATTAGACACGTTCCCAAGAACGTCAGAGTCCTTCCTATACTCGAAAATGTGATGAAAAGGAAAAGATTATTTTTTTAAAGAGTCTAGAGAGGATCTGACTCTCACAGAACCAGAGACATAATCTTGTAAGATCTGTTGAATTCTTATACGATCGTATGAAATCTTTCAAGATCTTGTCACTTCTTTGCACAATCATACAAGATTTTATCACAATGTCTTGCAAGGTCTTACAGGATCTTGTTGCAAGAAAAATCTTGTGAAATCTTCTAAGATTCTTATGAAACCTTGTAAGATCTTGTGAAATCTTGTAGTATCTTGTAATATGATCTTACAAGATCATATTTCAAGATTCTTCACCGCGGGTATTTGAATATCTATCGAACAGATAAAACTTTTGTTTATATACCATTTGAAAGGGCAAAGTCTGGATTACACGATGAAAGAAAAATATCAAAAATATTAGCTGACAGATAAAAATTATGGTTTTAATTAATTAGTCAAATTTTTAAGAAAATTTATTTGGTCTACCTAAAACTCATCAAAAAACAACTTTAAATATATCTTGGATAATGCTTGAAAAACTGCATGTATCTATTATGGTTTAATTAAAATTAACTATTGTCCATCTAAAAACAGAATAACCCATAGCCATTTTTTAATAACTCAAAAATGGAAAGAGCTAGAGAGGTAAGGTTTTTAGATATGAAAAGAGCAGTTTATGAAGCATCTTTTTACGAGCGAAAAGCTTTTCAAAAATAGATTATTTCGTAATATTAATCCTTACAACTATATATCAAACACTTTACATTTGTGTCATCAATCGGATATAATTAAACAAAAATAATATTAATAGTTCATACTATGGTATATAGACTTGTTACATGGAAAGAAAACGTTTTACAATTCATAATCGTCCCATGGGATCAATTTTCTGGTGACAACTTTTTATTTCTATTTATGATACTATTTGACATACACTCTAATGTCATACAGAATAACATTAAAGCCTTTTTCGGACACTTGGACCAAAACTTGTGAAACAAAATAATTCGAGAAAAATAACTACTTTTATATTTTGTTGTCATTTATTTGCCCTATAAGAAAAAACTGAAACGGTAGTAAGTTCGAAAAAAAACTAATAAATATTCAAACAAGAGTTACATAATACATAGCAAAAAGATAATTAATTCGAATTACAAATTCATTCACATTGAAACAAAAAAAAATGATCTGACTTAAATATTTTAACATTTTCTACGACGAATTAGATAAAATCGATAAAACATTGTAAATATCTGTATTACATTGAATTAAACGATGAGATGCTTCTAAAATAAAAATCTGTATGAGCACAGGCAGAAGGCATTATGTGAAATAATTCGGAGCAGAATTTGTGTGCTAGTTAATGATATCGGATTTCTACATAATCAGATTTTGTTTCTGCCAGAAAACCACATGAGCTATATTCAGTTATGGTTTAAGTCAAAATTACAACCTGAAATAGAATCTAGAAAAAAAAAAATCTTACCTAAAAATTGTTGAGTGAAGTAAAGTTCCTTTTTATCACTGAATGAAAATATTTCCTGTAAATTTTTTATCATTGACAAAAATGTTGGTTGTTGAAAATCGAGTTGAGGATGAAAATCAAGATTGATCGATTTCAGATACGCATGTCTGGCCATTTCGACAGTAGTTGTGATAGATTGTCGAAGATTATCGTTAATAAGTATAGCCAACCAACGAGAAAATAAAAAGAGACGGCTATATTCGATATCATCTCGAATTACGGTCTAAAAACACAGAAACAATCAATCATTAAGATAATTGTGCGCAGATGAGCATACCATCCATTTTACGAGTACAGCTTCATGAATAATTTCATCTTTTAACGTTAGATCATATTCGACATACATAACACTACAAAGATCCGTATAACGTTTTGGTAGCTCAATGCACATCATCAAATGACACAAAATATATTTTTCATAATCAAGATGTGTCTTTGAATTGTATAAACTTAAATCACATTGAGCAATTGACGGATAGGACGAATCTTTATAAAGCAATGTCAGTGGCTAAGGAAAAGAAGATTACGAAGTAATATAAAAAAATAAACGATCTCAATTCTACTTACCTTCAGTCCGCGACGTTTCGCGCTGTCATTAGCATTAAATAATATTTGTCTAAATCCATTTTCAACATCAATATCGTAGGCATTTGCCACTGATTTTAATTCTATTTCATCAACAACATCATCGAATAAAATATCTGATCTTCCACTGATGAATATTGAACATGTATAAAATCGTTGATAAAGACTATAATACACCTGTTCGCCACAAAAACGTAATAACAAACCACCATTCACATCCTCTACAACCTACAACAACAAAACTGAAAGAAATTGATCAAACATATAAAGTTTGTCTATAATTATTACCTCAAAGAATTCTTTCATATATTCTAGTGCTTCGTCAAATGTTTGAAATTGTCCAAAATTAGCTATATGAAATGATTCACTGTAAATTCCTTGATAAAATATTGAAAATAGACGTAATGGTATTGTCATCGATTCACGAATTGATAGTAATTCAAACAGATCATCTATCAAATGTTCCAGTTGGTATTGCTCTAATGCCGATAATTCTTAAAACGAATAGCAAAAGTCATTAGCTAAAGAACCGAGCAAATGTACTAGTTCTTTTTGCACAAAAAATATTATATACAGACTAGAGATAAGCGAGCCTGAGTCACATTTTACATGATTCGGACTGGAACTCAGACTCGGGACCATACACTCAATAAACTTGATAAAATCAATCATGTGCAGCGAATGATTAAAACAGCAGAAATTGAAATGTGTTTTGGGGAAAATTAATCATTAAATCAAAACAATTAAATCAAATCATTTTTTTTGTACAACTCGGACTCGAAAAAGTGACGACTACATATTACCAGAGCTGCCAGATGGTCCGCATTTTGCAGACAAATTCTGCTTTCTCTAGTTTTTGTCCGCAGTGCAGGGTTCCCGATCAAGGGGGGGGGGGACCTTACGGATGGGTGGGGCTAAAAATTTTGCTTCGCAGAAAGTGGCGGGCGAAAAAANCCCCCCCCCCCCCCCCCCCCCCCCCCCCCCCCCCCCCCCCCCCCCCCCCCCCCCCCCCCCCCCCCCCCCCCGCCCCCCCCCCCCCACGGCCGGGAGGGGCTAAAAATTTTGCTTCGCAGAAAGTGGCTGACGAACAAGTTTTCAAAAACAAAGTTTTCGAAATTTTTGGCAGAAAGTTGCTGGCTGAATGACCTGTCAAAACGATGCTTTTACAATTTTTATAAAACAGATGTGCACTGTTGAGAACTAAATTAGAAATTTGCCCCGGAAAGTGAACGCTAATAGAAAAACATTAGCCTGTCTCAAGTGCTGCTGCAAGGAAGTGTGAAAAATAGTGAAATACTAAATCTTCAAGGAATCCAACTCGATCAGAAAATCTTAATCATTAAGTACTGTCGTAGGCTGGAAGGTTTCGAATTAAATTTTATTCTGCCATACACGTCTCTTGAAATTTATGACGCCTGATCAAAACCGTGCAGTCACAAAAAGTCAATATCGATTCAAATTGGAAGTTAAATGATGTTTTGTACTTCTTTTGTTTTTTAAATGGAACCATCATAAAGAAAAACTTTTTTTGCCACCCCTTTGCATTTGGTAAAAAATGCTTTTACGCTTTTCTTCTGCTATTATGGAAAAAATTTTCGCTTTTTCGACTTTTTATTTCGCTTTTCTGACCTAAGCATCGGGCAGCTCTGCATATGACATCAAACAAACGACCAAGTGTGAAAAGAGGTATTCCTTATTTTTTATGTTCCTCGTATCGCTCAGTCTATTTACTCATTTCATAAAATCTATTAACGTCTCAGTTAATACAAATAAAGAAACAAATCTTTCCTCTCACGTTTGTTTTAGACTGCTAGCAATAATTATGACTGTACAATATTGAATAATTGCAGAAAATAAAGTTACGATTTCTGACACGGTCCTTCTTATTTTCTGTCAGATCTCTTCTCTATGTCGTAGAAACTGTTTTTACAGTTTCCGATGTAAAAGTTCACATTCATACGAACGATACGACCAGTTTTAGTTCCTTCGAACGAGAACTACAGTTGTTTTTAAACGAGGAACTGTTTATGCTCTGGTTCTTAGTGCTCTATTAGTTTATATTCATATAGCAAACACTTTGAAAGAGCTAGCAAATGGATTTCTGTTTAAAGAATGACAATCGTAGACTGTCACATATCTAATGTGGTGCTGACTCACCTCTTTTTTGTTCGTCTTCAACTACTCGAAGTTTGATTCTAATTTCTTCTCCACGAACTATTTCTAATCGATCATCATTCATTTCAACAATAATATCTTCCGGATAACAAACACCAAAATTTCGACAATCAAACGCATGACCATATAATTGTTCTAAAAGAACAGGAGCATTACACAAATTGTATAAAACGAATTAATTATTTGAACTATTCGCCCAAACAATAAATTATAGATCAACACAAACTTAACCCATAGGCCCATATTGTATAAAAGTTTGATTTTTTAGCACAAATCTAGCATAATCAACGTACCATATTCAAATATAAATGCTTTTACTGATAAACTGACGACTCCACCAGCTAGTCCATGAGTAATTAAATCGTATGTCAGATCACATAAACGTTGTATCTGTTTTTTATGAGTTAATGTAACACGTAGATTAGTTTCATCTGCAGGACCCAATAGCTAAAACATTGATCATGAACAAACATACAGTTCAATTAAAAAAGTTACTTACCTGAAATGTGCTTGAACATTGTTTAAGTAATTGTTTCACTTGGAATTTATTCACATATAATAATTTTAATTCTTGAAATAAATCATCCGATTTATTCGATAATAATTTCAATTCTTGAAATAAATCATCAAATAAAATTGTACAATTTTTCGAATTTATAACGTAATCTAATACACAACGACTAAAATGTTCTAATTCAATACGTGAAATGGTGGATAGAGTTGGATCTGAAAATAGTTAAGAAGATATTTTTAAATGTATTTAGCACAATAATAACATTTACTTTCTTCTCTAACAGAATTTGTCCATGTTAAATATTTTCCTTGAACAACTGAAACATTGAGTACACATGTTACTAAATGTTCGAGATCAATGCCCTTTTCTTGATCAACAATAAGATTTCCATCTTGAACTGCCGTCGTCGTTGAGGAATATTTGTTAAAATTGTAACACGAGATTAATGACGAAAGCCACAATTTTCCACGATGTTGATTCAGTAGTGCTTGTAGTTTAATACCAAAATCAAATAAACGCATACAAACGAATGGACACTGATTAATTGAAGATGGAGGCGGTTCTTGTTGACAATGAATTCGACAATATTCGAGTGGAGGTGAGAGCCCCTACGAAAAAAATAGATGGACTGCATTAATTCAGAAGATCTGCTAGAGTAAGAAAAATAACTAATATCACTATAGCGACATCTAATACCCGTTTAGTAGAGTGAATCTTTCTCAATCTAAATCAGTTTATTTTTTGTTCTTAGATATAGTTGAGTTAAATAAACCGTTGTCAATAGATATGCTACATTACCTGTGTACTCAATAGATCGGTTCTTTCGTATCTTGTTTGCAAACATCTTTGAATCAATCGATGTACAGTGCTGGAATCATATTCTTTTGGACGAATTCCAGATGGAATTCTAAGAGAAAAAATAGATGTAACAATTGGTTGCTGTTTGATGTTTTTTTATTCTTCCGTATCAATTGTATCGAGGAATATTAAAAGTTTGATAGATCGAAGTTGATTGCAGATTTGGATTCTCGATAACCGATTATTTTGTATGCAACAGATTTTTGGTCGAGGTACTTCTACAAAACTGATCGGTGTGGTATAGACCTTGGTGTTCTCTACGAACTTTTTAAAATACTATTAGGAAAAATTTTGTCATTCGAGGATATTTTCAGAAAAACCTTGAAAAATTATTTTGACACTACTAGGAAAGTTTTTCAGGTTTATAAGCCTGGATAACAAGCGACTCTTTTAGTAACAGACAATAAGGATTTCGGTCTCGCCAGACAAGTCCAAAGTTTGTCCAGGAAAGTTTTTCATTTTTACGAATAGATTCGGCATATCTGATGGAGAGTCCGAATCTGTAACAAGCTTCAAGTAAACAAGCTTTTAAAATCTCTCTATTAAGTTAATATGTATTACCTTGAGAAGAATTTTCGTATTTTTTTTTCTAATGTCTCATCATTGAGCATTTCGTTCAGCTTCAATAACGTTTGAATTTTATGACTGAAAACAAAAAATAAAATATTTATGTGCACCGTTTTCGATATAACTTTGGCGGGGTGGGGGGAGTTTTATGAAGCAAATCCAAAAACTTTAGCCGACAACCAAGGAGAAAAATCAGTTATAATTTCTTCAGGGAGTAAATTTTTTTCTCAAGAGAGTAATTCATTTCAAACAAGGTGAGGGAATTCTCCCACCTAATCGAAAATGCTGTTTATGTGGCTCATAGCACATTTGAATAAAGGAAGCTTATTTGCAACGAGAAAAATTGTTTTTACTTAATAAATATTTCAATATTTCCATCTGAATGCACAATTTCAACAGTTAAGCGACGAAAACCGAGTCGTTTGTTGTGTAAGTAGTCGTGAATAAGATCAGCATCAAATTTTGTACAAAAAATGTAACCGATCAATTCGCCATCTCGTTTATATTGACTATGTTCACGATCAACAAAGATCCCAATAACCTAGAGCAAAAAAAAGTTGTAAAACACATGTCGTTAAGTAAAACTGAATGGCTTAGATTTGCTGAAAGACTAAGTCATCTTATTAAAAGTGTTATGCTTAATATGTGTTGTATTCGGTCACTGTTAATATTTCAAATTCTCATCTCAACCTGACAACAGGTATCGATTTACAGCTGAAAGCACCGAGGATTTAGCAGTTCTTCAGTGAACTATTCCGATGTTAACGGCAAGTCAAATTGTTCAAACAAGAGAAGAACGGGGCACCTTGCATTGGACCACTTACATTTACATATCGACATTCTTTTTGCAAAAGATCTTCCCATTCCTTTGGTTGCATCATGTGGTCAAGGTTAAATATTACCACCATACTAAGGATGGCACTATTGTGAAAGAAAAGTTTTGTGAAAAAAAAAAGTACAGAAAAAGTTGTAGACGGTATAGTCCATTTGTACAGACTTACACTTTTCGTTCGGCAGAAGCATGGTCGACTAAAACAGAGTGAGAGAGATACACAAGGATCCTTTTTTTGAACGAGTTCAAATGCAAGTTTCTCAAATATATACTTTACTAATCAGGAGATGGATGTTTCGAATAAACACTTGAGAAACAATTTTCTACGCGAAAAATATTCTCATTTATGAGTAACTATATTAAAATCTCAGTCTATATTGTAGATACATTTAGAGTTGAATATAACAAGAGAACAAGGAAATGTGGTGCACTTCTAGCACACAATTTATTAGCTATAAGCTTTCTATAACTCTAAATTATTTTCTGATACTTTTAACGGCTCTGCGCTTCTTCGTTGCTTGTAGATCTTCTAAAACTGGGCAGAACTGTGTTAAAATAGCGCTTTCCTAAAACTATTTTAGTGAAGAGAACGGGCTTACCGGTCTTTGATGTATTAGTTGCCATTATGCCTTTTTAAATCAATGTCACGTCACTCCATCGTTTCTCAACAGAACTTTTTTTGTTAAAGAACTTTTATGAAGGGTGTGTAGATCGATTCCTTCTTTTATACGACGTATATGATACAAGCAGACGGACGGAAACTAAACACTGTATTTTGTTGTTTATTTAAACAACTTTATGTCTGTACAAAAGAACACGTGCGTATAATACAACCATATGATTCAGAAGTCAAAAAAAAATAGGTCATGTACCAGTGAAAAAATGAAAAGAAACATGGGAAGTGTTTTTTCGATTTTAGTACGGATAAACAGAGTTGAAACGACTCATACGACTAATTTATAACGCAGATGGCGTGTGTAAACGACTTTTTTTTACAATCAGATATAGATACTTGTAGGATTGAATAGTTTAAAAATGTTCACGTACACTCATCCTCATTCGGTTTGACCGACATTTGATTGGGATTCCATTTATGGAGAATTTTTGCATATTAATCAAATTTGCATAAAACCTAATTAGAATCAGATGAGATATGTATGTGCACGTATATTTACAACAATAAAGTAGTTGTGAGAATAAATATCTTCCTCTTGGTACTTATTAGTTTTTTTGAAATAAATTCAGTTCTAAAATGATTAACCAAAAAAAGTAGATTTAAAATTGAAACTAAGTAAAAGTTTGTAAAAATTATTTAACTCTTAGTAATTTTTCTTTTCTAGATAGTTTCTTCATCTACATTTTGTTTGTGTAAAAATTTAAAAATGAGTCGTTGTGAAGCATTTCAATATTATTTGGAACGTTGGGGTGTCATCGATTTACTTAGTGAATGTTTTTTAGAATTAGATAATTTGAATTTAGATGATGGTCATAATTCATTTTCAAAATTAAATGGCGGTGAAGATCGATCATTAGACATGTTTAAACAAATATTTAAACAACATCTTCGACAAGTTAAAGAATATCAAATGTTAACGGAAGATGTTAAACAATTGGAACAACAAATTCAAGAATTAAGAAAATAAGAAGCTGACTTTTAATACGTTGTTACTGTTTTTTATTTTTATATACTTCGTGTGTGTGTTTTACTTAAACTTTGTTGTGTATATTAAATACATGTGAAAGATTGTACAAAAATCGAAAATACAGTTGCGACCAAAATTATTTGTACGATTAGTGTTTGCTTATAATTCTGTGACCAAGATGTTTTTTTAAATCATAAAACTACCAGGAGATTGCCCGTTGGCTCCGCTCTCTATAGTAAAATTTTGCAATCACTAGGCCTTTTGCATCTAGACTTATGGCTATAACACTAGAGAGGTCTATGTTTTTCTGGCCAAAATTATTTGTACGTTTGATCAAAAAATTTTTTACGCTGTATAAGCACCGACAAAATATGAAAACTCCATCAATAGATAGAAGAGAGCGCGGGCTACATTTTGGTAAAAAATAATTGCGAAAAGTTTTTTCTATAGGGTGAAAATGAGACTTTAAGCCGAGAATGTCTTACTCTTCAGTGTGACTCTCCATCTCAGGTATGAGTGACTGAGTGACACGCGAGGGTAAACATTTTTTGAATATCTTTGTGTCATCATGTAATCAATTAGTTACTGTATATGGGTATGAAAAGAGAAATTTAGACTTTTAAGTTCGGAGGGAAAAACGGGTTTCTGAACATCAAAACTGACTTTCCACCTATAAAAAACACTTTCCATCAAAAATTAACGTCATATTCGTGCTCAGCGTCAAAAACTGCGTTTAGTGATGTGTCACTCGAAGTTTAGCAAAACTTTGGCTTTCGCAAAAATTTTGCTTGTCAAAAATGTCTTTGTTCCGCTGTCAGTTGTCTAGTGTCTATCACAAAAACGTCTTATGACGTTATTTTTAGATATGCAAAAAAATGTTTACGCTCGCGTGCAGAAAAGATATTTCAAAAACAGCCTCACAATCCAAAATATTAAAAGATGTGTCAAATTTCTTCACTTAACTTCCAGACTATATTTAATTTACTCAGTTTTTGATGCTCTTTCGAATGGCTTAATCAGTTTTTTTCAGTCACTCATACCTGCGATGGAGAGTCATACTGAAGAGTATGACATTCTGACATGAAAAATTTTTTCTCAAAAAAATTACCTGATAATGAAAAAAGAAAGTCAACTTTTCTGAGTGTGCAAATTTTTTTATGAATTGAGTAAATTTTTTCTCAAATGAGTAATTCATTTCAAACCAGGTGGGAGAATTCTTTCACCTTCCCCCACCTAATCGAAAACGTCTGTACTAGATTGCTCTGTACTCAGAGAAATATTATATCTTTGAGAAAAGTTTTAAGTACTCTTCCTACTTTAATAATGAATAACTCTTTATTCAGATCTTTCGGCAGACATCAGCCTGCCTTCTTCAGTGCAGATTTCTAAGGACAAAATGACAACAAAGTAGAACAACTGTACATAGTCCTTTTTCTTTTCTTTCTCAAGACTGGGACGGAAACAAGATGGTAAAACTGGACAGGATAGCTTTGGGTCATTTTGTCCTTAGAAATCTGCACTGAAGAAGGCAGGCTGATGTCTGCCGAAAGATCTGAATAACGATTCATTATTATTCATTATTAAAGTAGGAAGAGTACTTTAAAGGCTTTTTCAAACCTTATAATGACCTTCCTTTTAAACGTCAATGAAAATACTATATCTCTTATGTTATTAGTAAAGACCTCATTGGCTTATGTATTTTGTCTGTCGTTGTGGCCAAACTTCTGGCATGTTTTTGGCAGATGTTTTTATTCTCACATTGTGCATCTCCAGAAAAAATTTCTATCAAAAACATAGGTTTTTAATAAATGAATATTTATTTTTGTTGAAAAATCTGAATTGAAAAATGTTGTTCTCTGCTCTAGTATGCTTTATTGGTGCAGTATTAAGTTTAACATCAGCAGCTAAACCATGGGAAGAAGAAACAAGAGATCAGGCATGGTTCGATAGACATAATGCATTTGTTTTACAAACACAAACAAATGCCTCAAATATTCGTGTAGTATTTCTTGGCGATTCCATCACAGCCGGTTGGTTAAGTGGTGCTCGTTCTATATGGAATCAACATTATGCATCTCGAAATGCTGTTAATTATGGTATTGGTGGTGATCGTACACAACATATTCTCTGGCGTATACGTAATGGTGAATTGACTGGTTTGAAACCAAAATTAGTTGTGTTAAAAATCGGTACCAATAATATTGGAGCTGATACAGGTGATGATATTGCTAAGGGTATTGAAACAATCGTTCGAGATATTCGTACAATGTTACCACAAACAAGAATATTATTATTGGGTGTTCTACCACGAAATAATGGACGATTTAATGATAAGATAACACGAGTGAATACGGTTATATCCGCTCTCGATGATTCATATTGGATTAAGTATTTAGATATGACTTGGTCATTTCAAAATTCTGTTGATCAAGTTAAACCAGAACTCTTCACTGCCGATTTATTACACTTGGCTGTACCAGGTTATCAAATGTGGTATCAAACAATGGAACCACTATTCTATGATATGTTACAGTATTAGACCAAGGTGCTGTTTATATAATAATCTGATTTTTTAAATCATGAATTTGCTGTTGCACATCTTTTGAAAAGTAATTTCATCATGGTAATTCATACATCTGTTCTTAAGAGCTCTCTTTTGCAGTTCAAAATTGTTAATAATAATATTAAAAATTAAAAGTTCAGCTACGAAGTTTCAATTAGACTATGCTTTTCAGGATTACCAAGTTCATTTTGTTTGAAAAGTTTACTGAAAATGTGAAGGGAAATTTGTTTATACCAATCACTTCTAATCAGTCTTATTATCACTGAGCCATCTATCCTGTTAAAATATTTAAAAGGACCACAATACAATTTTCGTATGTAAAAAGACGAACTCAGCCTATTTCCAAGTTCTGAAAGGGTAGACCTTTTTAGTATTTTTCCGCTTCGGAGAACAAAAAAAAAAAGAAGAAAACGATGAGTCATATCACCGGCAGAAAGGTATCATGCTGTTTTTTCAACGGTACATACACTGTCATGTAGACCCTAGAGTGAAGAATTATAGGACAAACAAAATCGAAAATATTTTCGACACAAATCGACTCAAGTTTGCATAATAGGAGGATGTTTTCAAATAATTCTACTTACATTACTGGATTCTTCGTGGTCAATTGCACTATCTCGTGTCTGTACTGGAAATGTATCTTCCTAACACAGTATTGGGAAAGAATATTTTGAGGCCCCGGTTGAGGAGATGATGCCAAACAATTACGTCCAAGAAAATTTAACAAATAAAAAATAAATTTACCTTTCTGGAAGCGCCTTGTTGTATTCTAGCAAAAGAATGCGTAGTCTATATCCAGAATTTTGTTTCCTTATATTTACACCTTACATTTTATTTTATTACATAAACCCTGGCCTTCTTCATTTGTTTTTTACAACTGTATCATTCTCATTTGTTAATTTTATCTGTAATGAGGGTGTGTTTTTTGTTTTTACAGGTGGTATTTCTGTTCGCCTCATTAAAAACTGATGTTGCACAAGATAGTATACTAAAGTGTGGAACTGATGCTAGAAAAAACTGCCGATACGAGTCCAATGAATTGTGACATTGCTCAATTTGATGCATATTATGCGACTAATTCGTAGTATGCGATCAAGCTTATTATAACGGCCTCCTATTAAATGTTTCTCAATGCAGTGTGTGTGTCAGCCTTGACACTTTCTTTGTCTGTTCGGGTAAAATTATACTATCAAAAAAAAAGTTTTGACCTAGTAAACGACACATCTATTTTGCAATGAATCGGGCATATTAAAAGATATGAATGTCTATGCGACACATTCAACGTACTCAACCCACACCTATTCTATGCTTGCTTATTTCTCAGGAAATACAAGAATTAAAATATGTATTATTTAGTATTTCTTTGGATGAACCTCAATGAAACATGTCGAGTGATAAGATACTACAAGCCTTTTATATAGATCCTATGAATGATGCATACAAGATTGAACCATCAAGGTTCGAACCTCCAATTTGTGTATCGACAAAATGTTCGACTTTCAAAAGAAAAGGATGAATGAAAAGAAGAAAGGGCTTATTTAGTCGAAGTCACAAGAGATGTGACTTCTGAAGAGAGACTATTGAATGTGCCTTTACATGTACAGCCTATTCCTGTCAAGGTGTTTCAAATGTGTTCGCTGCCGCGGCACATGTCATAATTGATAATTACAGTTAATACAGTTTTTGTAATTATTAAATGCATCCTAATAGCTGATTGTTTTACGTCGTATATCTCGTTTGTTATTTTACATGCACAAACAGTTAGAGAACATTTAACTTTTGATATCTACTATGTTTGGATTTAATTTTATACCTGCGTTTACACATACAGCTTATTGATCAGACATGAACTTAATGTGCAATAACTAATACTTTCGAAGTACTCACCACAATTTTTTTAATTATTAAACAATAAAAAATATACCTAAAGAAGAGCAAACTTTCTATTATGTTAGTAATATTTAGTAGTCACTGATGATTGTAACTGTTTGATATCAGCTACTTCTAATATTCTTTCGTAGAGTGCAATTGTCTCTGGCGAAAGACCAGCTTGTAATAGACGTTGCTCTATTTCAACATTATGTGTAGAAACGAGTGATGATTGCTTCTCTTTTGGATGTGTTCGTAATGTAATACGAATTGGGTTTTGCGAGTATTTTGATGATAAACTAGCTAAATCTTGCACAGATGAATCAAATGTATACCATTGTAAAGATGGATCAATATCAATAATAGATGACTGTTGTTGGTTGTGATTTGAACAGGATCGCGTACGAGATTTCGAATCGTCAATAAGCTCACTGGATATTGTTGAATTTACCGGTATTAGAAAATTTCTTTTTAGATGTAACGATGACGAATGTTTATTATTATCAACAAACGGTTGATTATAACTGAATACTTCATTAGCTACTGATGGTTGAAGTCTTGGAGCTTGCACTTTATGATAATTGTTTGGATGTTGTTTGCGCTGGTCAACGGAAAAATGTTGTTGATTTACGTCGTTAGTTATTAGTTGTCGATTTGTATCAGAACTAAATGAACGATATTTATTAGATTTAAATGGTACGTAGTTTATTCCTGATGTCGCATGCATAGATGTCGGACGAATAGATGAACGATATTGTTGATGTTGGTGCTGATAGCCATCGTGAAATGTAAATTGAGATGAATTTAGACCATTCGGCATTGAAGAAAAATTGGAACGAGCAGGTCGTTGGTTTACTATTAGTGGATTAGGTAATTGAGAACTAAAATATAGTCAACAGTTAACATTTAGTTTTTAATCACAGAAATATCATTTACCTTCTCGTATTTTTTTCTTGTGTTAACAAGATTTTCTGATGTTTGTTATCACGTTTAGAAAATGGTTTAAATGCACTATTGACGCCACCAACAAACGTTGTAGTTTTTCGTGTTTTATCATCTTTTTTCACAGCTATATCATTCTCATTTGTTAATTTTATCTGTAATGAGGGTGTATTTTTTGTTTTTACAGGAGGTATTTCTGTTCGCCTCGTTAAAAACTGTTGTTGCTGCTGATGTTGTTGAAGACGATCTGTTGAAGAATATCGTATAGGTGGTGCCTTGAATAAAACTCTTGGTGGTGGAGGAGGCAGAGATCGACTACGAATAGTACTAATTTCTAATGCATGTTGCTTTTGTTGTGGTGGATGTTGACTGTGAGGAACCGTATATGTTCCTGTGAACAACGTACGAGATCTCTGTTGATGGGACGAATTTGATTGATTTTGAGCTAAAATAGAGATTAATACTTTGCTAAAACATAGCATTTATACTATTCTATTAAACAAAAAATAGGCTGAATAACATAAAAAGCTTTTCTAACATTAAAAATAGTCTACACTGGAAGACTATTACTTTTTGTCTACTGATCAATTTCTTTTCTAAATATCGGTGAACAGCCGGAGTTATACATTTTAATATAGAAAGTCTGAGAAAATGTATTTACAATAAAAGGTACGAATAAGCCGAATGACGTTTATAAAAGATACCGTGTAACTTGTCAACAACTAGGAGACTCTAGTGTAGGGAAAGTTAGTGAAGCCGTCATCAGAAAAAAATTAGCACATATTCTATTATGTAGAATGTAGATGTTCTAGAATTTGTTATGTTTCTAGTGAACAATGCTTAGATTGATGTTACATTAAGTAGTTTCCAAATAAATATAGAAAAAATCAAGTTTATTGGACATGAGGTGATACTTTTTTACATTTTATTTCTTGGTCGATTAACCATGAACATTGGAATTTATTTTGCGGCTGTACAAAAATAGATTTCTATAATATAATGCCATTTTAAACTTACTATCTTGTGTAAAATGTTGTTGTGGTATTTGATGAATAACTTCAACTGCACGGGTCGATACTGTTGGTGCGTTTTCTGGTGATGACGGCGATGATGATTCGAGAGGAACAGACGATGGTATATCATCAGCGTTTATAATAATAAATTGTTTTCTGTAGTGTTGATTAGGATCTTTCTGTATTGTACTTTCTACACGTGATCGTCGATAAACTTTTTGATGTTTTTGATATTGTTCTTGGGGTGGTTGATGATATTTAGGTGGCAAATTAAATTTGAGTAATTGTTGACGATAATGCTGTACAGTCGGATTCGTAATGGGTAATATGTATTGTTTTGAGCCATCACGATAACGAATTTCAACGGGTAAACGTGGTTTACGTGTTTTTATTATTGATGTAAGTTGTGAAGAAACAGATTTTTGTTCATCAAACACTTCTGGATGTGGTAATGAATATGTTCGTTTTTTTTGCAGCTGTAAATGAATCGGTGATATTGATCTGGATGATAGCAATCCACTGCTATCAGTAGTAGTAGATGTTGTTATTTCTGACAACTGTGGTGACGTCATTATTTCTTTTGATGAACGTTTAGTAGTTGCATTTGTCGAAACGTTTAAATCAGTCGAATGGCTTCCACCTGATTCTTCATAAATTGTCTCTAAATGATTTTTATTATTAGAACGTTGTAGTGGCGGTTGTTGCTGCTGTTGTTGATTTTTAGTTGAAGATGGCTGTAATTGTGAATGTGATGATGTCTTTTGTGTCATTGATTAGGCAGCAAGCGGTGTCCTTGCTTGTTATTAATGATATTTAATATTTTATGTCTATTTCAAATTTAATTGCTACACATACACATTAATCATTTCGACAATAATATGAACAAACAATTCATATCTTTATGGCTGAAGTAGATGGAGATATTTGAAGGAGACATTTTTGGTGAATAGAAGAAAAAAATGAACGATTGAGCTTTTTTTCCTGATCATAATAGATATCATTATAATAAATTGTGAGAAATAGAATCAATAAGATTACACTGACTTCGATGTATACGTGCATGTCTAAAACAAAACGCAAATTACAAATTACTAAAACAACACACATATTCTCTCTATGTATATGTACGATGTCAGAGAAGAAGAGAGAGAACAAGAGGGTAAGAAAAGATATGTGCTTGTTACCTGTCTGCGATACTACAGTGTGCGATTACTACAGTGAAGTGTATGAGTATGTAAGCCACTGAGATGAAGGACAATAGGACATATGCATGACGAAGCATGAACAAATCGTAGAAAGCACATACGCTTTTTGACACACTATTGAATAATTAACAATAACAATTAACTTATGGGATACCTGTGTCTATTGTCCATGACTATACACCTTTAGGCATCTACATATATACCTCTAATTTAAAATACTATATATATAATTTTTCTTTTACATGAGCTCTGTGCTGTTAGTTATTTATGATCAAAAGATTTCATTTCAAAAACATGTACTAAGTATCAAGACTCGCTTTTGTTTGTAAAATAGCTCAACTTGCGTCTGTATCTCAAAAATTTCTAATATAATTATATTGATTATTTTCATGGATTAATTCACTTAAAAAACATCAGAACAAGTTCAAAATTTCAAAAGATGATTAATTTTATCTGCTGGGCGTGATCATAAAATCGAAAAAATTGAAAAATGATCTTTTTGTCGATAGGTTTTCCAGAAACCCTATCGAAAAACCAAAGCGTTTGCAAATTCCGTCTTGTATATTTGTTATGAAAAAAATATAAAGGGGCCTAAATACTGTACATTCAGAAGTTTTGAACTTGCTCTAATGTTTTTTGAATGTTGAGTGAATCAATTCATCAAGATAATCAATATAATTCTATTAGAAATTTTTGAGATATAGCCGCGTTTCTCAAAGATCTCCTAGAAAAGCTATTTTAAAAGACCCTTCTGAAAAAACTTCTGATTATGGAGACATGTCTCTCAGTCTCCTCTTTAGATCGGCGAAACTCGAAGCACTCTACCTACTTTCTATCAAACATTATTCCAAAAACATCTGTGACTGTTCTGTTTTGTAATGGATATCTCTTACTTAGAGGACCATTTCACGTAACTCAGCCGAAAACATGATTCTGTAGCTTGTTGTGCTGTTATTAACAAAACGTAGACATACATCTTTTAGAAAAAAACTACTTTTAAGAGTAATAATGAATGTTTTTATAATTTCTTCTTAATCACGAACCCTAAAAAGCTCTGGTGTCTGTTATTTTGCTAAGCACACTTTTCTTTGCTAAATGAGATAATCGCTAACTCTGAGCGTTTGTTTGGAGGATATAAAAACGAGAAAATAGCACAACAAGCTACGAAATCATGTTTTCAGGCGAGTTATCTGAAATGGTCACAGAAACGATTATGATAAAAAAATATCTGTCAAACGGTAAAAAAATTACTTAAGCTAAAACACTATTCTTTGCTCCTTACTTTGAATCGTTGATATATGTTATTCTATATATTAATTAAATTGAAGTAATCTAAAGGTAGTATATCTGGAAGACAGAATCTGCTTCCAGAAATGACTTTTTATAACGTGTATTTCTATTAAACGCATACTATCTTGTGGTTGTTACTTGATACATATTATCATGACAAAAAACTGATTGTTTCTAAAGAAACGTATATGGTTTGTATGTAACCCTCTCTAATGCATCATTCGTTACTCTTTCTCTCGAAAAGTCAAAATTCTAACAAGTATAAATTGTGAATATATAGTCGACATTTTTTTCTCTCTATGTCATGTTTTTTTCTCTAAGATATATTAATGTAAAAAGTCCAATTTTCAACACCTCAACTAAAACTGATAGATACTTCCCTCCTTGAGAGAAAAAAAATGATTGAACAATTACGTGCCTATGTGTATTTAAAATTGTACATATGATGAAGAAAAAATCCTATCTATATTTAAAGTAGATGAACACACAGCTAAAGACATATTTTTTATTGTACTGTAATTACACTTGTCTATTATTTTGCAATATGTATCGTCTTCAAACAACGTCGATATTTTATAATGTGGTTTCTTTTTGTCTTGCTTTCTCATCATAGTCGTCAAAAATCAGATCATAATTTATTGATATTGACCATATAGAATACGTGTATAGTATTAGTATATACTTACTCAATTTTTTTGATTTGTCATTTGATTTTCAACTGTATTGAACCTTAATAATCAAAAAACAATGACGATGAGACTTATTATATGATTTTAATATCCAAGGACTTAATATTAAATTGTTTTTGCTTACAGTTTTATTGTTATTGTGATGATAAATCAGTTTCCTATTGATTTCTATTTCGAAAAACTAATTTAACAATTGATACAAGATGTATTGAAATGACGATACTCTTCGTATACCATCCACTTGGTCTCCTTACAGACACCACACATTGTCTGATTTTCTTTACGCATTATGTGTCCTTTAATGTCCATTTCTCTTTTAACCCATTTTTCGTTTTTATTTTTCGGTAACTATTGTATCTATCTGTATAAATCGATATTTGTCATGGTCAAATATATTGAATATTATTTCTTTTGACTATCGTACATTTAAAAGCAACCGTGCATCTAGTTTATGTAACAGAGGTGAAAGGTAAAATTAAACACTCACTAAAGAGAGATTTATTTCTGCTTTTGAAGATTATCAAACATAACAGGTGCATGCAGTTGGGTACTTCGAGGTCAACAGGCAAGGTCAAATAACTTATCTAAATACTTGATATTGAGAATGATATTCGAGAAAAAAGATCAGCATCTCTTAAAGGGCGTGAAATAAGACGTACTAGACTGATTAATGATAATATTGAAAAATTATTTTTAATATCTAAACGTTTCAATCGGAAGAAGCCAAAACTTCCATTGAAGAGGAGTTCTCGTTTGAGTCATAAAAATCATAGGCTCTTTCGATATGTATTTAGACTATTTAAAACATTTTCTTTCTTCGTCATTTTGCATACTAATTATCGTCTTACTAAATTGTTGTAGAATCCTACTTTCAACACGTGTATTATATATCAAATATTACTATTCTTCTATGTGATTGTACATTAAATGAGTAATATAATACAATATCACGTGCATAGTGTAAATGAATGTTCTGCTGTCAAATTGTGTCATGTCAGTAGACATATTTGAAATATGTTCGATATGTTTCATTGAGGTTGATCCAAAGAAATACTAAATAATACATATTTTAATTCGTGTATTTCCTGAGAAATAAGCAAGCATAGAATAGATGTGTGTACTGAGTACATTGCAAAAAGATGTGTCGTTTACTAGATCAAATTTTTTTTTTACAGTGTATACACATAGAGAGATACTAAAGGAACTCTTGAAATGTTTTTCTAATAATTGAGGATAGTCACAACAGATATAAAAACATTGAATTGTCTTGTTTGTACAGTGTGAACAAAAAACTACTATATAGACTATTATTCTATTATATTGTCATTCGTTTTAATATGTTAAAACTAACACTGACATACACAACAAGAGTTTAAATCTATCATTTATTAGTTTCAAATAATACACAATAACAACCTAGAATGACGCATTGATTAAACATTGACCTTAACTTGCTATAGTATCGACATTATCTTTTTTTTTGTTCATAAATATAGGATATATCTAATAACTGGTCATTATCACCTTCATAAAATTTGAGTGTCACCTCTTATGACAATTTTTAAACATGATCATATCGTATGTATGTATATACAGATACATTTATAAACTTGATTCATTTTATGGTATAGAAGTATTAGATTTATATCGTCGAACGGAAAAAATAGATAAAATTTAATAAAAATTCTCCCAAGGGAAAATTTTATACATCTAATAAAACATTGAAATTAAACAGTGTTTGTTCAATTTTATCCTCTATATTACAATAATGTCCATAGTAAATTATTTTTAATCCATGAAGAGACTGTGTCTAATCCAGATATTCCATTCATTTCTTAATAAAAAATGTTGTGGATTTTGAAGTGTCTACATCCACCATAACACTCATGGAAGGTTTTTAATTCATGCCTTAAATTCAATCTTAAAATCTCTCGGTTTCTTATACATTCAGCAACAAACCCAATAATTTCAACAGCCTATTTAAAATCAATAATCTTTCTTCTGAGAGAGTGACATAATACTGTGAAAGACAACCTTGGTAATTATTTATAACATATATGTTTAACCACTAAAATAGTGAGTATATCTCTTCTTCTTGATTTGGATAAGAGTTCATTAAACTGCAGATGTATTTATATCACACAAATACGTTCTACACATATTGTACATTTCATGACAAATAAAATCATTTTCAAACTATTGAGTACATCTGTATCCAATAAGGCATAGATATTACTTGTTTTCTCCTCTCTCGTGAATCTATTATATATTTTAATCAAAACAAGCTGCGAAGAAACATTTAATTCAATAGGAAATATACTTTGGTTTAGATGAATGACTACATAAAGCAACGTTTCACCGAAAAAGATGAATTTAGAAGAAAAAAAACTCTTCAGTTTAATGTTTTTTTTTCAATACAAAGAAAACATGTCTTTTTGCTTGGCATACGTATGTCTTTGTGCTGCTAAAATGTACTAAACTCAAAAAAATTTAATAATACATCGTTTTGGAGTGAAGAGAATAACCACGAGAAGTACATTCAATTATAATGTTGCTAAATACTTTTATATCATATTCTGTACTTTTTAACTAAAGTTTGGCTTCGTTGACAACTATACGAGTTTGTCTGGGAAATTTATTCTAATCATGAATTATGTTGATTCTCAACTGCTTGGAAAAGTGTTAGCTTTAAGTGTTAGATATACTATAATTTATTTCATGATAACAATTAAAAACAGATCAAATAAACTTTATTACTATTTATAACCATTGCACTAAGAAATAGGTGAATAAATAAACCCAAATCATAAATATTTAAAGTCATTTGCTGATAATGTTCGCTCAAATGTGAGAATGTTATGATGATGAGATGGAAACATGCTTATATAAGGATTCGGGGAAGTAAATGTAGAAAAATGAGGAAGGGAAGATTGTTGCTGTTGTTGTTTCGTTCCATTCGATTGTAACGGTGGCGATGGTGATGTCGAATTAGTCCAATTGATATAATTTGGCTGCATAGCCGGTTGAGACCGTTGTGGAGACGGATGAGCGTCTAAAACAAGAAGATCTGATTGTAAACTCAGACTGAACATGAAAAGTAGATATATGTACGTGAATATTGTCTAGAATTAGTTTCTGATGTTGTTATTATTCTAGCTGTTTGGTTTTGTGAATTTGTTATCGCTGCTGGCGTGTTCTTTTTATTTGTCAAAATAGTTGCAGTTGGAGTTGGTATATTAAAATCGATTATTGTCATTTGATCTGATGATGGAGTCTGGGGTGTTAATGGAGCGGACTGTGATAAACCCATTGTGCTGTTTTTGTCATTAGCAAAGATCGATTGTCCCTGAAGTTGTTTTTGACGTTCATGTTTACGTAATTTGGCTCGACGATTTTGAAACCACACCTATATCAATCTTGAATGATAGCCATACATTTCAACTGATGAGAATTTTCTACCTGAACTCGTGCTTCTGTTAAAGTTAATTTCATGGCAATTTCTTCGCGAAGATAAACATCGGGATAGTGAGTACCTGAATTAAATAGAATAGAAGACTTAATGACTATAGGCTATAAGAGATGTAAATACCTTGAAATGATTTTTCTAATTCTCTCAATTGTGCACTAGAAAATGTTGTACGTATACGACGTTGTTTTTTTCGTAATTCTGGACTGCTACATCCATTCAACGAATCACGACCTGTGAAAAACACAAATAAACGTCCGTTATTAACTGAAGTGACGACTCTAAAGCATAAGAATAAAGATTGATGAGTGATTATTGTGCAGATTTCATCGATAGAATCAGCAAGGTCGGATAACAAATTTTTTTGTTTTATCCTAATTTCTGTCTTAATATAAACTAGACAAAAAAAACGTCGAATAGAATTATTCTTAAATCATTGATTTTGATTTCTGTATGTTGTTATAATCTAAACACAGTTGACTATGGCAGTTTTGAAAAGTTGATAGTGCTATAGGTTTAAAAGTTTTGGATATCAAAAAGAAAACTGCTGTTCAGAAGCATCTCCTACAAGTATATAATTCTTATGTTTTAATCATCTCCTTTATCGCCTGTTTTTTCGATAAATAGATAGTTTCGTTAAGGGTAATAGCATAAAAAAATCTGACTTCTACTACTTAAATATTTTGAAATCATATTGTTTTCGAAAGACATGGATAAAAGTATAAATCACAAAAATTCTGTTCATATCAAGAAAATCTGTTTGTAGAATTCTTGAGAACTCAAGAGAAGACTTTTCAGTGAACTGATACAATAAGTGTATTACATTGTATTGTACAAAAAATTTGGATAAACAAACGCTTTTCAGCATGTTGTGCATCAAAGTAACGTTTCATCAAATCAATTCTCACCTGAATTGGAAGCATTTCCAAATAGACTAATATTTCGTTGATTTCCGGCTTGATTAAAACGTTTTTGTATAAAAATCATATTTGCACCATTTCCCTGAGACTGTTTCGGTGACGATGATGAAGCCGGAATTGGAGTGGTAGTAATGGTTGATGATTGTTTTTGTTGATGAACATGATATTCAGAATAGGGCACAATAAGTGATGATAGACCACCATTACCAGCTGGCGAATTTTGATACGATGAGTAAGTTGAACTATTATTTGCACTATTTGAATGTGACGACGATGTGTTCTCAACAAGTTGAATAGGAACTGTGCATGTATTAAGAGCTGATATCAAAAAATCTTTCATATTTATTTTTTTTGTTATTAAATTTGTTACAATTTTATTATAGTTAATTTGATATATATAAATAGATATACAAGAGAGATACGTGTCTTGAGTATGTATGTGTGTGATTCGACTCTAGGTAACGTAAATTAAATGACTTTCTACTCTTTGAGAAAGTCTTTTCTTGCAAAGAAATGACGTATTTTCAGAGAATGACAATGTCTTCTAGCATTTACAATGTTCAATGCATATCATCAGCTCACACGAAGACACACGATCTCCCTATTATTAAATTATCGATGTTGCACAATGATAATCGACTATAGTTCACTCAATATGTGTAAGATGACGCAGTAGCATTCTGTTTTTATGCTATAATAAACTGCATGTTATTATAGATGCGCCGAGTTTGAATGGGACGATAGCATTTAATTCTCGTGTTTCGGCCAGTTAATTTCATCAGTCTACCTCTAATGTTGTTGTTTTTTAATATAAAAGTTCTACGTCAAAGAATATAACACTTTCATGGCTCGATATTTGTGTGAATAAATTAGTCCGATTTTGAGTAAAAAATGTGTTTTAGTCGAATTTTACATTTACATCATACGATGAAAAGGTGTGGCTTCACCGAATAGCCAACGAAACCATATAGAAATAATTTTTAACGGCTTTCAATTCGCATGTTATGAATACATTCATATCCACCGTACACAATCGTTACCGTATCAAGCAGGAAAATATTGTTCTTTCATGCAGTCAGTGATGCCATCCATTTCATAGCTGCATCTCTCGCTATTTTTGGCCCAAAAATAAAAATTTTTGAACGCGTTAAGCGGTCCCATAAGTATCAAGATCACTAATCGTGTTCAGGAACGTACAGAACGGTAGAAACACGATAGTTGTGTTTTCCAAATTGCAAAAAGGTTTGTTTGCGTTGAAAATTTTGAATGCATTCAGTAGTTCAAAAGTAACTTAAAATATCGTAATAAAATTCTGTGATTCGTTCAGGAACACATTTTCGGATTTTTTGAAATTCTTACTTGAAAAGAAGAAAACCGAGGATAGAAAGTAGACTAATCTATCGACAAAGCACTACAACGATAGAGTTTCACACGATATAAATAACCCTTTATCGATCTTATTGTGTGATGTACGATCAATTGTTACTTTCCATATTGTTGTTGCAAATGAAAATTCGAGATTTAGTAATGAATAATAGCCAGGTTTCATCGTTAGACTATGTTATTTTTTTGACCATCATCTCCCTCCGCCTCTCTCTCCTGCTTACTACTGAAATACTTCAGTTTTATTCAGAACCCCAAAATTGATGCGCCTATGTTTCAAATCCACATTTGGGGACCAACAATCCTTTGTGTTGATATAGTCTAAGACGGGTCATATACACCACCTACAGGTGGTACTTAGACTTTTTTTCTATAGATATCTTGTCACAGATCTCGTCTACAAGAAATCGAAAATCTTAGATTTCTATCTTCTTTTCAGCGCGTTACTTAAAAATTCGAAGCAAAAAAACCCGGCGAATGTTACTCTTGTATTTATGAACAGATAATAGTTGGATGCTTACAAGAGAACTATAGATAGAGCGCACATAAAAGCAAAAAATAAACACACATTGGCAGAATTATTCGCTCAATACTGGAGGTTGATGGTGAATAAAATACGATAAATGGCAATGTTGATAACAGAAATACGAATGATGAAATACGAACGTATCTACTTAATTATATATTTTTATAATTGACGTTTTAAGGATCCTTCTCTTTTTGAAAAAAGTTTTACTTTTGGAATACATATGGCCATGTATTACAAACAGGAGCCTCGTGTACAGAATAAGTAACTAACTAACATAATAACTCTATTTTTCGTTAAAGAGATACAAATTTTACCGCATCATGCTGAGAAAAACTCTATCTTTCAAGTCCCGAAAATTTTTGTAAATAGCTGTTCTCGTAGAGCAAAGAGTTTTCTACGAAATAAGATCACATCCAGTCCTTCACAACATTTTTTTTCAAAAGTTAGCAGTATTTCGCCAACAGCTCTAAAAACAAGACTTTGATGATGCAATTCCCTCCATTTCAAATATTGACTGCGCCTAACCCCAATTCTATCTCCAACATAAATTCAGATTCGATCACAATCTCTGCTCCGACCTTTGACAAATGGGAATTAAAAAATGGAGAAGATACTCTTAATATGTCACTTGAGGATTTTTCATTGATTTTGTACCACATGAATTGCTACAAGTATGTACATAATGTGAGAACAAAAGTAATTAAAACAGAAAATATTTTATACATTAATAGTTTTGATGCATCATCCAATGCTGTGATGTTAGAGAAGCATAATAAATAATCTCCAGTATGATATTCAACGTGTAAAAAATATATATATATTAATAATAGTGTTCTTGTCGTAAGTTAAGATGATGGATTGCGTTTATGAGCAACATATGATATCAATTCGTACACCTAACCATAATGTTATTAGTATGACGATAGTTAATATGATGATACCTTATCAAGGCGTGGTGTCATGACATGACGATGGGATATGATGATAATAAAAAATGAATTACATGTAATAGTTGACATGATAAATGGTGATGATTATCTTTTGAAAATGAATAAAAATGACATAATGATGTATTAATAAGATCATTATGTTCCATGTTCATCAATTGAATAAAGACGTTTCTACATTGTCTGAGTCAACCTCCAGATTAATTTAACCCAAACGCTTTTAAATCTATCAATTTGAAAAATGCGTTGCGAATATATGAATCTACATATCAAAATTTGATAATTTTTTTTCTAGAAAGCGGTATTTGGAATTTTTACATATTCGGAATCACCGCGATGAGTTACATTGTACGGCACAAAGATCTCATCAAGATACACACTATTTTGGGATCTCAGGAGCCCCACTTAGAATACCACTGTATTCAACGGTATAGTTCATCGTTCAACTTCAAACATCGTTCCGCTTGTAATGTCATTTTTCTTTCTGCTTGATTTTTTTCCTTTTATACGCATATATACAGACAAATATAGAAAGGAATAAAGTGAAAACTGAAAAAACTTTATCTTTTCATCGAAATGTTCACTGCACACACTATGAAATTACTCTATATTCTGTCAACTTGACAGAGTAAAATAAAATTAACTAAAATTTACCCTTCTCCGTTTTCCACGTCAGTTTGAAGTACACAAATTGTACTCTAGGCCGAGATGTTTTTTAGAAAAGGGTACAGTCTACTTTTTGAGATACAGAGCTGTCAATATCGCTGTCAATGTACCTTCTGTGTGCATGTCACTTTGGACATTTGGGATCATTTCTGCTTTTATCTATAAAGGAAAAAACGAAGAAAAGCACAAATTTTATGTTTTGTTTTTATCCAAAAGGAAAATCGCGAGTCATCGGACGACTCTTCTTTTGTTTGAAATTCTTCGTTCAGCAGAACTCGTATAGCAGTCACTGTCTCTTTTTACATCGTCTAATCTTCTGTTTTGAATCAAGAAATATGGCTAAAGCTCATCGACAAGAAAAGTTCTTCTGTATTCAACGTCTGCTGCAACGATGTATGTTGAGCCAAGATGCCTGTTAGGCGCTGAGTGCAGAGCAGCAAGAAATAAATATTTTTTAGCCGTTCAATGGGGAATATCTGACTGTTGTCTAAACTTTTCTTTGTGTTAATAAAAATGAATCCACAGGTACATATGTGACATAACTTTCTGTAGTGGAAGGACTGAAATTCTGTTTTGGCTATGCCAGAATGATAATCGGATTAAAATAATTTATTTTATTTTTCCATCGAAATAATAAAAATTAAAAAGTTAACAAAGAAGAAAAAAAGGACTTAAAAAAGATTAAAAGATGGCTGGGTTTTTCTCTGTACAAAAACGCTTTCAATACTTCATCAGTTGGCCAGAGAAAGAAAATGAAAATGAAAATGAGCGGGAATGCGATTCACATCGGTTAATAAAGTGAATAGATAAGAGAAGAATGCTCTAGGCAGATGCATAACTGTTTGTGCATGCAGTATATGAGTGGTAATAAAAAGAATATGGGATATTTTGATGATTCTGTAGTGGAATGCGAGCAACAGAGCAACAGTATTTTACCATAGATACTGCAAAACATGTTAAAAATTTTTATTCAACTATTCTTGAATCGATCAGACTCAATCGGAAAATTTTGAAATTTACGATCGATCTAGTAAAAGTTAAATCGTTTTGTCCTTTGATTCAAACTTTTGCAAAATTTTTACCATCTTTTTTCAAAAAAATAATTGAAAACTCTGAGGAATAGTGAAATTTTTTGTTTTCGCTGCGCGGTTTTTTCTTTACAAAAAATACAACCGTTTGTTGTCGAAAAACAACAATTTTCAAAAAAATTGCTTTCACTCCGCCTTATAAAATACAACTAGTTAGTTACATGAAATGACTGCTATCTTTTTGTTCATCGTACCTTTTTTGTTTGCTTGATAAGTGGAATTATTCGATGCCTTTTAATTTAAAGAAATGTAGAAATAAAAACGAGATGATGTCACGTTGAAAATGTTGGTGATAAAAATTCTCTTAAATATTTATCTTTTGAACATATATTACAAAATTCCTCTTGACTAATAACCATATCTTTATTTTCATCAAATCGTGATATAAATGAATCTAAATGCTGCATAACTTCTTGTTTTAATTGATCATTTCCACCTTCACCACGTAATGACAACACCATCTTAATAATATTTTCAATCTCGGAATGTGTTAAGATACCATCTTTATTAAAATCATATAATTGAAACGCATATTTTAATTTTTCATCTAAATTACCCTTTTCCATTAAGTCCATTGCCAATAAAAATTCATCAAAATCGATTTTACCTAGAATATAACGTATATACTTACAAAAAAACTAAAAAAAAAAGAAGAGTTTACTTACCAGAATTATCACGATCAAAGGTGACAAAAATACGTTTCGCAAATTTTGTTGCATCACCCTCAGGAAATGCACGATTATACATTTGAACAAAATGCTTTTGTGTTAACAGACCATCCGGACAATCTTTTTGAAAACCATCTAAAAGATAGAGAGATATAAGTTTTCTTACTAAATAGAACCTATCTTGCATGTCAATAATGATCCTCGAGTACACAGGAAAGCGCTGAGATCTTTGCTGCTAGTACACATCCTCTGGTACGTTGATTGGTTCAGCCTACAACGTTTCATTATAACTTCAAAAAATTAAAGAAAGTCATATTTTTCTTTTCCACTAGACTACGGTAAATCAAGTGTTTAGCAATATCGAAAACAACATTGCAAGACTATCGGATCACACATTTCGTTAAATATGAAAAACCGACATACTTTCACCGCCCTCCCCCCCCCTTCACCAACTGAAAAATTTGAGGATAAAACGCGTACCAAACGCAATTCAACTTCTAGAAACGAGTTTGTAGCCGTTAGGGGGTAGTCATATTATTCCACCACTTTTATGGCGATCAAAGTATGAGCTACTTACGCATTTATTTTTTTAGAAACATATTTTAACGACTATATTTTCAAAAATATTTGTTCTATCAACTATTCTCTTCTCTTTTAGCAGGCCGAATCGAAGTTTTTGCTTTAACCGTTCCCGACGCTTAGATACTTTCGTATTATTTGTCAGTCATCTCGACAGCTGAATCATATCGCTCATTGACGATAGAATAGAAGTGCCCTATATTTTGATCAAAAAAACAACTTCAGCAATGTTTTTCTATTCTTTCACTACAGTTTCAGTTCATCAGTTCTACTCCTCTTCGTCCTTCAAAGATTTCAAAGGCAGTTGATCACCTATTTCTAGAACGTTTCTTGAAGGTAGTTTCTTTCTGATTGATGACTTTACAAAGAATTAATTCAAAAATTTGCAATATTTTTAGTTCTTTAGGTCATGATGCCATCACTAGTACTACACGGCAAGAAAAAAAGTGTCTAAGAAAGTGCCCACTAGAAAACGTCCACGAAAAAGCCTAGTAAAAAAAGTGTCAACAACAAGAGTCCACAAAAATTCATCCAAATAAGTGACAAGTATAGTATTTAAGCGCATACTGCATAGATGAATCGTTTCACGGCACTAGCTGATCTCAGAAATGACTGATTTCTTGCGATAGTGGATCGATCCAGCAGGCCAGAGGTGCTTTTAAAGCATAGTGCGATTAAAACTGAGTCAAATATTATTTAAAACTCTTCAAATTTTGTTTTTCATGTGACTAAAGCATACGAAAAACTTCAGTCACAAAAAAACGTTCAGTAAAAAAGCATACCAAGGTGTGACGAAAAAATCACTAAAAAGCGTCAACTGTTGGACGCTTTTTTTTGCTGTGTAGTTTTAGAATTAAAGACTACTTCCTCGAAACAAGTTTCGATGACTTGTTTAATCGAAAAAGAGGAAATTCGAAGCTTTCTCACAAGAATTAGCGTCATATTTATATTAGTCCGAAACAAAGGATCAATGAGTTGATAACAAATGGTTAAGAACTGACATTTAACTACCAATGTTATATTCTAGCTTCTTCCTGATATAGTGACCGTTCCAAAACAGGCAATTTACGGTGATGGGAATTTCAGTCTTTTAAAAGTATATACAGTTAAATGCCTAGTTTCAGATCATGATGCATGATGAAATAACAGACAAAGAACAGTGACTATTAACGAATTGTTTCTTAACAGCTTTTAGCTATTTAAAAGTCAATTTTCTGATCATACGGTAAACAGCCTATGTATGAGTTATTAAATGTCAATTTTCGTTGTCTTGGAGAGTACTCACAATAAGAGCCGTTTTGATAAAGAATATAATTTTTATTGGCTTTTTTGTCATCTTTCCCTCTTCGTTTTTTTGTTGACAATGTTTATTTTGCTTAATGGCTAAGAAATCGTTATTAATACATTCTCTTGATAAAAAACGCACTCTGACAATTAAGTAATAACGCGTTTTAAACAAAGTGTTTGGATGAGTTTCTCATTTTGTGAAGATGTTCTGATATCTACAGAATGTGCTTAAATGCGATTCAATACTTAAAGAAAAGATTACTCTTCCTGGACGGACACATCTTTACGATCTTAGTTGCCCTTTGAATACGTTTTTCTTAGTGAGTAGCTGAAAAATGCTCATCACACGATTTTCTGGGATAAATCTAATGTAAAACTCATTCTCCCAGCAAAAGTAGTGAATACGAAGGCGTGATAATAATGTAAAAGAAACTCGAATGAATCAGTCTGATATGAGATACATACCGAACCATTTAATAATTTCCTCTTCAGACATTCTTGTCCGTTGTTTTAAATTTTCTATTTGTTGTCCGGTCAATGTAGCACGAGTCTTTTGTACTGCTGGTTTATTACCCATATTCTGCTTTAATTAAGAATTGTCTGAATCTGGAAACAAAAAGAACTATTTAATACATACGATTCATTTTGACACATTTGTTCATTTCATCTTCTGACATAATTATTTTATTTGCATTTTTCTGTTATGGGAGGTTTTATTACTATTTAAATAGTGATTTAAAAGTTAATTTCAATTATCATGGGCGATTTTTTTATCATCAAAACTTAACATACACATCACATCTACTCTTCTTGTTTTATCTCTTCTTCTTTACATAGATAGATACTTGATATAGTTTGTTATATCATAGATAGAAGAGAATCAGAACGAAAAAAACGGCATCTGAACCTGACTGCGTAGGCTATCAAATTTATTTTTGTTTGTTGCTTTCTATCGTACTCACGTGCTTTGATTGCGCGCGTCTACGTCAGACCTCCGTATGAAAAAGATTCGGCTGGAAATTCAATATGATAGATTCAAATTTTGTTGAGTCGAGCTCAATCCGTACGAAAGCATGTTGTATACAATATTTAATAGCGATAAAAATTATGAAACTAAGTTAATTTGGATAATTCTTCTTGACTAATTGCATCAGAAACTAGTACCGAATAAAGAAGAAACAGTGTCAATTTCTCGTTTATGCTTTTATTCAGTTTTTGAATTGATGTAACTTACAATTGTAATTTATTCAGATTGGGCTAAACAATCAATAACTAATAATGATAGTCCTATATCAAACTAGAGACTAACCATGCTGCTCGAAAACTCAGCTGATGACGGAACATTTTCAGATAATAACTTCTTTTTTATGAAATACAGTTTTTTATAGGCAATTTTTAATGCAAATCACGAATTTTACATTCATTTCGGCTGTTAGACTTTTCCTATATCTTTCTTTAAAATTAAGATTTCTAAAAATCCATCACGAACTTTCAAATTCAAAAGTGCAGATGAGAATATCAAGCTCATCATTTGCATAAATTATTGGAGCAACAGGCAAGTTTTTGTCGATAAGAATTTTAGTGTACGAATGATGTACAAGGTAAGAATTTCAGATAATTTAACTAGTACTTTTCTCTTTAATAACTTGTTGCGTAGTTCTAATAGTTTATATAAATTAGTAAGAATTTGTTAGAATTTATACTTCAAAAGCCTGTGATGGGCTGCTGAAGACTTGGATTTTCCAGATCCGTCCGAGAAGAGACTAGCAGAAACGGATACGAGATTCATTAGCCCTATGATAAATCATCCATAAAAATACTGTGCTAGAGAAAAAATTTGAGTTTTTGAAATATGTGAGTTTTTCTACTAATGAACAGTCAAAAATTCGCTCATACACATATATTTACTAAAATAGGCTATCAAATAAATTTATCAAGTTCATATAAAGTCAAATTATTAAATTAAACTCATTTCGTTCGTTTAATCTCAATTAACGTCTCAATAAACTACATCGAGAGTTTTAATAATAGTCTACATACCTGATTCCATGCTCTCGAAATTGACTAACAGTATGAAAATAATCTTTGATTGTTTTACCTAGATTAAGTTAAATGAGGTGTTTCAAACGAGTAATTATAAGTTAATGTTTAGATATATTGTGATAGTGAATAAAACACTTCAAATTTATCGTTCCTTTGATTTTAGTTTCTCTTTCTCACGCACAATATCTAAAATAAATGAATATGACAACTTATATAGAATAGAAAAATAATGGTAGTAAGTAATAGCATAATTAATAAAATGACACTCGAATACACTAAGGAAATCAACATGTTTTTATCTTAAGTAAATAGAGTACATTCTTATAGTACCATAGTCTATTTATCTTTATAGAGGCATAAAGAGAAGAAAAGTTGAAGATACCAGATGTATTTTATATGTATATATGAATATAAAATTAATAGTTAAAATTTAAGTTCCGTTTGTTTTCTTCTTTAATAGTTAAGAGAAAATAAGTAAGACTATAAATTCATATTATTTAGACCATTTTTTATAGATTTCATAAAATAATGAAACATAGAAGAGTAATCTATTTATGAAATTTTTTGGTAGAGCAGTTGGAAATAAGTATTTGTAAATCGAATATAGAACTACTATCAGTTATGCTAGCAGTTCTATATTCGATTTACAAATAATAATCTATTTGTCTTAAACAGATAGACAAGTGCGTGACTAAAATTTATCTTAAAACTTCTTGATTAATATAATGGATACAAAACAACTTTAAATAGTCAGGAAGTAGAATTAACCTCCAATGTTATCGGTTTATTCGCATTCCTGAACGATCGCAAGTTGCAAAAGTTTTATCAAACGTAGACTTCAGATTGATACTGGAACTTGTCCTGAATCTACGAAACCAAGTGTAAGTCTTTCTGTTCTTCATAAATTCATTAGAAATCCATGAAAATGAGAGAAAATGTTTGGTTTTGCCGAGTTCTTCTATCGACGTTTTTTTCTTTTTTAACTTGGTTATTTGTTGAGAACTCCCTCATGACTATGGCGAATTGTATTAATGATTTTATATTTCGTTATATTTCATTCATATCCATTCACTATTGGCTTTGTCGATATTGTCCATTCACCATTGGCTTTGTTATGAATCGTAAATTTTTAAAGAGTTAATTTAGAGAAAAGGTAACGAAGCAGAAAATCTTAACTCAGAGACAAAGAGGATTCTATTCCATGCATGAATGATATTTAGAGCACGAAGAAAACACAATTCAATCATGAGTTATTGTGTTTATTAAACATTTAGCATTTCTGTTCTTAATCATCTACTCACGTTTCAATTTTGTTGAAGTGAATTCATCAAAATATGATGTGCATTTACTTTTAGCTTTGATGCAAGACGAGCAATGATCCATCAAATATCGTTACTGATAAAGAACAAAAAGATCAAGTAAATAAAATATGAAAATTGGATCGCTTAAACATAGCAAACGAAGAAAATGACATATCTAATTATTATCGTTATTCGAAGTATACATTAGTTATGAAAAATTTTGTTTTTTTTCCTCATAACCAAATCGAATTGGACAGAATTGGAAACTAAATTGTTTACTAGTCATATATGAGGCAGTATTTGTCAATAATCTGTTGATACAAGCGTCTGTTCCTAACAGTACCAAAGAAGAAAAAGTCTGAAAAAACATTTCCATTCTAAGAGCGTACAGACCTGTTATATTGTCAATATTTCTGAAAGGTGTTATTCACTGTGGCTTTTATGAATATTTGAAAAATATTTTTGTTATTTTAAATATTTTTTATACCGAAAGTACTCTCGAAGTGTTTAGTGTTCTAATCAACCGTGGAACAAGATTAGCAAATACACAATAACAGATTACTAGCCCATAGAAACCGGCGGTTAATCACGGTTATTTTAAGAACCGACCGTTTTTCCGGTTAATTGTGAGGTTAACCGTCGGTTTTTCTGCTGTGTTGCTATGGTTTCAGCTGAAGTAATCGTGATTAACCGTCGGTTTTCGTCCGGTTTCGACAACATGGAAGCGATGCACTGAATTTAGAAATGGGCATTCGAACTGATAAGAAATGGAAATAGATTATACAAACATTATAAGAGATATAAACCAGGTGTAGATTGTTTTACTATGATCGAAAATGAATACATAACCCTGCTGAAGCTTCTCCTCCCAAGATCTTGGAAACAACACCAAGAAGTAAAGATGTTAAGCCAAGGTCGTATAAACAGAAATTTCAAGATCTTGCGTGAAATATTCTCTTTACATTTTGTTTTCAAGTATGACAACTGTAGTCATCAGATGTACAACCATATAATTATAATTTATAGGCTCTTCCTGTAGATAACTGTGTTCAAGAAGAAAAAATATTCGAAGTTATTCGGTGTTTCAAATATTCGCACTTATACACAACACGTTACACAAATACTCAACGAGTAATCAGTGAATAAATTGTACTTATTGAGTATTTCAGTACTCATACAAGTACTCAGGAAATACTCATTCACCTTTTTGTTTGCACAGATGTGGCTAGATACATAGTTTCCATTATAAAAACTTAAAATGTTTTCGCTGTTATTTCTGTCATAATCAGAGATGCGCTCGTCTATGATCGCACTCGTAATCGAGCTCTGAGTATCTGACGATATTTTCTTAGAAGAATGACACACGAAAAAGTGTTCAAAAATATTCATGAGTATTATGTAAAATCTCATTTCAATACTCATGAAATTCTCGTATGAGTACTTACATACTCAATACTCGCACATGAGCACTGTTAAAAGTACTCGGTGAGTAAAAGAATGCATGAATGCTCGGTATATTTTTCTATATGAGTACGCCTATGAGTACCTATGCTTGAGTACATTCACTAGGATTGTTTGCACATTTTCGATAGTCAGAGGCATCGAAGCGCTCTAACAGTTGTGAATGATCAACTTTTTATTCTGAAGACTCTTCATTAGATTAGGATAGAAGCTGGGACAGTCTTACTTTTTCTTCGCTTTTATAATCTAATTTACTATTTTTTAGCAAAACTCATATTAATTCTTATGAATATAATTAATTACATATGTGCTAAGTTCTAAAGTTTAGTTTTCTTTAGAAACTATTGTATAATCCTATAAATCGTAATAAAATATAAATGTGAAAATTGCTCCTATATAAATGTTTAAAATAGTTATATAGTTAAAGAAAATGTTAATAAAAATCATCAAGAAAATATATATAATTGAAATATCCCAAAAAAGTTTGTCGTTGATCGTTAGACGATATGAACTTTGGACATATTTCTATCAGATCAACATAATCAATTAGTTCTTTATAAATATGCGCGATTAAGTCTCGATTGAGATGCATCGATATGCATGTGTTGTAGAGAACAGAGAGCACAAGTAGAGAATCGAAGAAAACTGGAAACATGTTCCACACTGTTTTCATTGTTTCATTCGGTTTAGCATCGATTCATTCCCGATATGCATGCCGTAGGCTAAGGTAAATAATTAATTCTTTATTATTAAAAATATACACAAGATATAC